GCAACTAGACAGTTATGACTCACTGTTATATATTTATCAGCCATGAAACTTGGTGAAAACAAAATCAATATTCAAAACTACGTCCTATCTTACTTAATCAAATATTATAAAACAAAATCGTTATAAAAGCAATTAATTATTCAATATCTCAAAGTTGATAAATGGATTAGATATTACACAAAAGAATAATGATCACCAAATAGACAAATAGTTAAATTAAGATAAACATGTTCAGTGAATTAAATATACTAAAAACATCATGATCGTAAGAAAATCAAATAGTTAATGATAACAAAAACAAATGAAGTTGTATTTATATATCAATAAATAAATAAAAACATCAAGCAATCATGACAAAAACAAGAACTTGATAGACAAACTATCAACCCACGGGACAATTTTCATTTATTGTTGATAAAGAAGATATATCTTACACGATATTGATATATGACTTTAATATCTAGCATATATATTTTTCTTAACCATTAACGAAATATTGTCAGAATATTAGTTAAGCCTGATCACCAAGTTGTTCCATTGTATAGTCATAAAAATCTGCATTTTCTTCCGAATCCTAACTGCGTTCCAACACTCTCATATTACTGTCTTGCGTTCCTAGTTCCTGTTCACTTTGATTCAATCTCAACAGTATATCAAATTACTTCAGAGGTCTCCGTAACCCAGTCCATATTTTCCGTCACTGAGCGTCCTTTTATTTTCGATACGGGGGTCATCCGGTCACGCCCTAATTGATTATCATTTAAATATTACTTATAGCTGTTAAGATACCTCGCATCAGGACTTTTCTGTGTCCCAGCAAATATTTATCACTGTATTTATCACTTCTAACTTTTTTCTGCCACTCGAGGTGATTTCTTGTTCTTAGATTGGTACACTATGATTTATATTGCGATCGATTAGAACTGTTTGTTCTTTCGCACTCGTGATTTCTTTTTTTCTTCTTCTTCTTCTTTTTCTCTCTCTCATCTGCGTCTTGTCCTGTTGACCGTATTTTTGTGTGTATGTGTGTGTGTGTGTGTGTGTGTGTGTGTGTGTGTGTGTGTGTGTGTGTGTGTGTGTGTGTGTGTGTGTGTTTGAAGGATCTGCTTCGAATCCTCGCAATGTTATTCCATTTATGGTATCTCGTCCCAACTTGTTTGTTCCATCCGTTCATATAGCATCTACTTCGTACTCGTGTTGTTCGCGAGATGATGACTAAGCTTTCGAGTGTCTACGAGAGGTGAAGGGAAGAGGAAGAGAAAAGAGAGAAGAAAGAGGAGGAGGGAAGGCGATGAGAGAAGGTGTTGAAGGGAAACCAAATAAATGGGGCGAGCGAGGGAGGAAGTATGGGTTGCAAGCAGCTTCTCGCGTCAGTCTGCTTCCGATCAGCGCCGGCTTCGGACGTGTGGAAATTGCCGCTCGTTTGAGAGAGAACTCTTAACACTGTCTCTTGGGAGTTGTTGGCTTCCGAAGTGCAGAAAGGGTGACTTGGAGGGATTGTTATGATAAAAATAGTGATATGATGGTCATTGAAAAAATAATAAAATCAAGGTTTGAGTCGGAACTTTTTTCTCTCCCTTTTTTCTTACTTGTCTCTGTCTCTCTTTTCCTCTCTTCACCATTATATTTTCCTTCCCATCTCTCTCTCTCTCTCTTTATATATATATATATATATATATATATATATATATATATATATATATATATAAATGCATATATATATTTTTTTTCATCTACCATTTTCTTTATCCTCCATCTCCTCTCTCTCTCTCTCTCTCTCTCTCTCTCTCTCTCTCTCTCTCTATCTATCTATCTATCTATCTCTATCTCTCTCTCTCTCTCTCCATGCACATGTGACATCTGTGTTAGCAAAACGTCATAACACATCATAACCTTTTCGTGAACGCAGGCCCGTCCAAGCCCCCGACTACTATTTTCATCTTTTTACTCAATTTCCGGTCGCGATTTTTATTCCATTTCCCTTTCAGCTTTTCCTTTAATCTTTTTTTTTCTAGCCTGTGCATCCCGTGTTAGTGAAAGCGGTTCTCTCGAGTGACGTTTACAGTTTTTTTTTCCAAAAAAAATATGCTAGGAGAATGATAATGTCTATAGTAGACTTACATGAAAAAATATCCCTCTACTATTCGTTCAACAATATTCAGTCAGTGCTTATTTCCACAAAGTACGATACATAAAGACACTGAGAAATTGAAACTAAAACAACTTCCTTACAGTAGTCAAGGCCGACCAACCCAAACTCCCCCCCTACCGCCACCCCCTCGATGTCAGGTGCTCTCCAGACACGCCTAATGTGCCCTTGATTACCATTACCGAGAGAGTTGACTGAGCGTAGTGTAAACCGCGATCTTGGTTATAAACGTTCTTCACTTTGTAAAGGTCGCACGTGAATTCGTTCCAACTGAACAAGCTCGTTCGCCATCTGTTGATAATTGTTCAGGTGCTACCTGATATTACCTGACAATAATTGCTGATGCGGAGTATTTATAATTCTTGGGTAAGAAGTGGTTGTTGAACAATCTGCCAACTGTTTAGTTTATTTACACACGAAATGGGCTCACTATTTCATTGGCTGGGTCCCTGATACCAAAGTATTTACTGTGCAGTGTTACTTACCTGGCACCAGCCTCCAATAGATGTCTTGGAATATTCTGCATGATGAACGTTATCCAATCCTCATGTCTGGCTTAGCATGCTTCGTTTGACTTCATAGGAAATGTAATGACAGTCTTCCTTCAACTAAAACAAGCGGTGTGCAATGTGTTAGAAAATCCCGCAATAGTTACAAGACACATTTTGGTAATACTAGAAACAGATATAACACTGCAACTAAATTACATGAGAACTTCAGCCTCATTCACATAAATCCTTCAAATTTTAGCGATTGTAGTCCTAAACCTCAGCAATCTCCGCACAAGTGAATGAAAAAAGAAAAGAAAATGACAATACCCACGAACTCCCTCGAAGAAGAAAACACGAGCGCCATTTACGAAACAATGACTAGCTCGCTCGAAAATACCACCCCGTCCCTCCCATCACCGTGGGCGCGAAACATGGCTATCATCTCCGGGCTGGCTGTCTCCCTCATAGGCGGCTTGGGGAACCTTGTGGCTGTGACCGTCCTTGTGCAGCAGGCGATGACGCGTCGAACTCAGCGAGTCCTGAAGGTGACGGCAGATAGCGTGCTGGTTTTGCAGTTGGCTGTCGTCGACTTGCTGTATTGCACGGTGTCTCTGCCATTGAGTGTTGCGTCTTACCTCCATGGGGAAGAGGTGCCGGGGCCTCTATGTGCCTTCGCAGGGTTCTTCCGTCTGCTCAACGCCAACGTCGAATTCAACACCCTGGGACTGGTGGCTCTTGAGAGGTATGCGTTTTTTTCTGTGAAATTATTGTTATTGTTATTGAAGTTTTGTTATTATTTTTATTATTATTATTATCATTTATTATTATTATTATTATTATTATTATTATTATTATTGATTGTGTCGCACACTGTCTTTGTCAGTGGTGATAACAGCTTGAAACTTGGTGTCAACAAGACTCCTCAAATTTCAAGCACTTTGCGGAGGATCCTTGCAGAGTGGATGATAACAGTTTTCTGCAGTTCAACAATTCGTGTTCCTATTCCAAGGTCATCTAATCTTTTGGAAAGTTTCTTTGGGGTTGTCCCAAGTGCACCTATTATAATAGGAATTACTTTCGTTCGCATATTCCATAGTTTCTGTACTTCTCGTGCTAAATCTTGATACTTTTCTATTTTTTCCATCTCTTTTGCATTCACTCTACTATCATACGGTATGGCAAAGTCTATAATTTTGCATTCTTTCTTTTCTTTATCAATAAGAATGACATCAGGTCTTCTGGCTTGAATGACATGATCTGTCTGAACATTGAAATCCCACAATAACTTACAGCTTTCGTTTTCGGTAACCGTTTCTGGTTGGTGTTCATACCATCTTTCTGATGCTGCCAATCCATACTTTCGACACAATTCCCAATGGATCTTTCTTCCCACGCAATCGTGACGTCGTTTGTACTCTCTTTGGGCCAGCATATTACATTCACTAATAATGTGATTTACTGTTTCATCTACCTTACCACACATACGACATTTGCTTTCCTCCTGTGTGTTGTCAATCTTAGCCTTGATAACATTGGTTCTTATTGCTTGTTCTTGGGCTGCCAGAATTAACGATTCAGTTTCACGTTTAATTCCTGTTCCTTTGAGCCACATCCATCGTTCTTTTCCTGCTTCATCATCCGTTTGTCGTAAAAACTGGCCATGAAGTGTTTTATCTTTCCATTCCTTTTGCCTTTCATTTTTTTTTCCTATTCTTAAAGTCTACTACACTTTCTCCTTGACAATCATCTATTTGCCTTGCAGCTACTAGTAATCTTTCACAGCTATTTCTCACATAGCTTTTCAGTCCAAGCTCAGCTAGATCAACAGTATCCTCTATGCTCAAAAGTCCTCTGCCCCCCTCTTTTCTAGGGATGTAAAGTCTGTTTGTGTTGCTCTTCGGGTGCAATCCCTTATGCATCGTGATTAATTTTCTTGTCTTCCGATCGATACCTTGCTTCTCTTCTTTGGTCCAATCTAAAAAGGCAGCTGAGTACCTTATCAAAGATACAGCCCAAATGTTAATCCCTTTAATCATGTTTTCTCCATTCAACTTCGTTTCTAGAACTTTTCTTACTCTTCTTTTATATTCATTTGTGATCTTTTCTTTCATTTCTTGCCTTTTTACTTTGTCGACTTGTAATATTCCAAGATACTTATAACCTTTGTTGTCTTGCAACGACTTTATTACCTTCTCATCTGGCAGTTTAATACCTTCCGATCTTACTACTTTTCCTCTCTTTTGGATCATTGTCGCACATTTTTCTATTCCAAATTCCATTCTGATATCACTCGTGAATATTCTGACTGTCTGAACTAGCGAATCAAGTGCTTTTTCGCTTTCTCCATAGAACTTCAAATCGTCCATAACTAACAGATGGTTAATTTTTTCTCCCGAAGCGAATTTATACCCTGGTTTAGACTTTCGTAGAATACTTGTAAGGGGCAGCAGTGCTATGATAAATATTAATGGTGACAACGAATCTCCCTGGAATATTCCTCTATTTATCTGTACCTCCCCCAACACATCACTTCCACTTGTCAGCTCTACTCTCCAAGATTCCATACATTCTTTCATGAATACAATTACTTCCTCATTAACACCAATGCTTTCGAGACATTCTATGATCCATGAATGTGGCACCATGTCATACGCCTTTCGATAGTCAATCCAGGCAACTGCGATACTTCTCTTTCTGGCTTTAACTTCTTTCATTATCATTCTGTCTATGTATAATAAATCTGCCGTCCCCATTGATCCCTTTCGGCCTCCTTTCTGCTCTTCAGGTAACATTGCTTTCTTTTCCATGAAACAATATATCTCTTCAGCTAATATACCAGTTAATATTTTCCATGCTATTGGTAGACACGTGATTGGCCTATAATTGCTCGCTTCATTTCCTTTTTGTATCAAAACTGATCTTCCTTTGGTCATCCAGCTAGGGACCTTTCCTTCAATTAAACATCTTGACAGGTTGTTCTTCAGATGGATATGCATGCTTCGGAAATTTTTAAACCAAAAGCCCTGTACCATGTCAAGTCCTGGTGCTTTCCAGTTAGGAAGTTTCTGCAATATCTTTCTAATTTTTTCTGTTGTTATTTCTATCTTCTCTTGTCCTTCTTCTTGATAGAGATCTTTTTAGAAGTCTTTCAACCACTTTGCATCTTTATTATGATTAACCTCTTTACTCCAGATCGCCGACCAGAACTCTTTTGCTTGTTCTGCATCTGGTGCTTCATTCTGCTGTTCTCCTTCTCCATCAAGGTGGCTGAAAAACCTCTTTTGGTTGTTTTGGAAAACTCTGTTTTGTTGATATTGATTGATTCTACTGCTATATCTCTTGATTTTACTAACTTTTGCAGATATCCTTTGCTTGATCTCTTCTATTATAGTTTTTAGTCCTTTTTGTCTGACCTTGTATCGCCTTTCAAGATCGTATTTATACTTGTGTTTGATTTTTCCATTTTGTATCAACGTATTCACTCTACCTAGATCAATGTTCAGTTCTCTCACTTGTTTCTCCAATCGTCTTTTCCACCATGGCTCCCTCTTGTTGCTTGAGGCTAAATTTCTCATTCCAACCATTTCGGTAACTACAGCAGCCCCAGCATATAGCAGATCATTTGTTGCTGATATGTCTTTAGGTACAACTTTTGCTAAAACAGCATTCACTTTCTGAACAGCTTTCATAACTTTGCCTCTGTCTATTCCTCGTAAGGGTGGTAATCGTACTTTCTCTTTCCTCAAGATACTTTCCATCTTTTCGATTGTGCAAATCTCTTCTGGAGATGTTTCACACCCTTCTACAAGTACAAACATTATTATTATTATTATTATTATTACCATTATTATCATTATTATTATTATTACCATTATTATCATTATTATTATTATTTTAGTTGTTGTTATTCCTATTAATATTATCATCATTCAACATCACCATCATCATAATCATTATCATCACTATCATCATATTCATTAGTCATCATCATGATCATCCTTATAATTATTACTGTTGCTTTTTGTTATAATTT